TTGACCTGGGGAGGGGTTAGAGGGGGTTAGGGCAGAGGTAGGAGCTGGGCGGTTCAGAACTTAGTATTTTATTATAAGGGCACTCAGAAGGGCGGCCATCATCCCATTTAATTTGGAAATGCTCTCTCTAGCTGCAGAGGTAGGAGAGCAAAGACAGGCAGAATGCTGCCAGAGGCCCCTTGGGGAGATAGCTGGTCAGAGGCGTAGGGGGAACCTTGCCGCACCCTGCCTGCCTCCTTTAAAAACTCTTCTCCAGAGGTCTTTCTGGAACTCTGACTCCAACCTCCAATGCTGGGTGCAGGGGCTCTACAGGAATGAGGAAGTAAGATAGTTGGTTCTTAGGAATATTATTTCCCGCCTTGGGAGCTCCCCAGAGTAAGTGAGAGTGTGAGGAAGGGGCCCAAGAGCCCAGGGTGGGTCCAGATGCACAGGGTTCTTCTATTCCCAGCCCTTTCCTAGCTTGCAGTGGCTCTCAGGTTGTAGGCCTCCCAGTGCCTAGTTTTCCCACCTACTATCTATGGGACTAGCACAGAATCTGGCTTTAAACTCCGGTCCGGGCAGTATTCATTTCAATATGGAAAGAGCCTAGGTTTGCGAGGGTCAGAAAGGTTTGGGCCAGAACCCTGCTCTACCACAGACAAGGCTGTGTCTCCTGGCATGGCTACTTTGCTCCCAGAAGCCTGCTGCTGGTGGGGCCTACACTTTGAGAACCACTGCCCTAGAAGAACATCCCCCAAGGAGGAGGCTCTTTACTTTGCTCACTGCCACGCCCCAACCAATGTAGCACATAGATTGAGTGCTTGTGAATGAACCAGCTCTAAGTGCTTTGTTTGGCTGGGAGCTGAAAGGGATGGGTGTGGGCCTGGGCATGGTGGGACAAAAGTGATGCAAAATGATTCAGGAATTTGGGATAAGGAGACATGCTGGACTTTCCTGATGGGCTCTAAATGTCAGCACAGAGCCTTATAAAGGGTGAGGCAAAGAGAGGTCTGGTATAGATACAGAGAAGGGGATATGATGGTGGAGACAAGAGATGGGGGGCATTGTTAGAGAGACATCTCCGTAAAAGGGAGAGGTATGTTCCCCACCCCACTTAATGATGGGCAGAACTGCACGCCAGGTGGAGTTAGATAACACGGAAGGCAGGCGGGCTCTAAAAGGAAGAAGATGAAGGCCAAGAAGAGTGAGCTCTTGTTTTTGCTGCCTGATTTGCACCCTGGTACTACTGAGAAGGAGACATGGAAGGAGACATGTGGAGGCGAGACGAGTAGAGACATTTGGAAGAGACACGTGGGGAGGCTGACAACGGCAGCTGTTACCTTGATATGGCATCTCCTTGGTGCCAGCTTTCTGGGCCTGCTGCAGAGCCCTGTCTACAGTTCCCTCCTGGGAGGTGCCTTAGGCCTGTGCCAAGCTTTGGGGCTTCAGCAGCTCCGCTTTAAGCTGACCCTGTTTGGCTGAGCATTTATCTATGAGGGGATGGGTAATTTGGGGGGTTTTATTGTGAAACTTTTTAGGAGTATTCTTTTTCTCTTTTCTAGTAATTCTATTAACTTTCACACTAAGGTTGCTTTGCCTTTGTGCACATGGATTCCTTTAGAGAGTGCAAGTGTTTTTGGGGGGTGTCCCTGAGTACCCCTTGGTTGCATGCTAACATCACGAGCCAAGGAATGAGGACAGCCTTCAGACTTTGGGAAAGGAAACAGATTCTCCTTGGAAACTTCCAGAAAGAAGCAGCCCGACTCCTGACCTCTGGAATGATAAGAGAATAAATTTGTGTTGTTTTCAGTGACCAAATGCATAGTCTTTTATTAACAGCAGCGCTGACAAAGAATGTCAGTTATATCCAGTAATGGGGGTTACTAAGTAGGCCCAGCGGAACAGAAGTGAAGGGGCTGGGGGCTGGGTCCCAGAAGAGGCAGGCTAGTCTGTCCTGGGAAGCAAGGAGGAATCAGGAAGGGGAAGACAGTGCATCCTGCGGGGAAGGTGGCTGCTGGGTGGCCACAGGGAAGGGAGGACAGGCCAGTGTGGCCACACTGTCTCCTGGAGTCTCGCTGGACTCACCCTGTCCTCTCCCTCAAGGGTAGGCAGGTGAGTCTCTTAGGATTTCTTAGTTCAGGGCAATGCCCCCTCCCCTCAGCAATGTTAAGGACTCTTGGTCAGGTCAATCTTGGTTTTGTTTCCATCCTGAGAGCAAGAAGGACTCACTATTGGCTATCAGGGAAGCTAGGTGCCAAACTTAGGAAGGGCCACAAGAGACCCCCATAGCTCTGGCAGCCTCAGTGGGAAAATCCATTTCTGACTTTTTCACCCTCATGTGAAGTCCTCCAACTTTATCCCCAACCTCCTCTGACAAAGCCCTTCCCACTGCTTCCTGGTTCAGGGGAAGAGCAGAACATGGCCATGGACTTGTGCTTGAGGTCGCTGAGTGATCCAGGCAGGCACCGCCACTCAGCTGACCTTGGATCTTCAGAGCCTTCCACCCAGGGTGGCCACAGAGCAAGTGGGCATCAAATCAGCAGTGTGCCCAGCACCCTGAGGACAATCAAGGCTGGGGCTGCTATTGGTTTTGGGTGACTTCTTTGTCACTTGGCCAATTTACTTAACTTATCTGAGCCTCAGACTTCCTATGTGTAGAGTGGAGACTTGGTTGAGCAGAGCATGAATCTAAGTCATGAGTCTAGGGCAGCTGGTACCATCCTAGATGAAGGGCTCTTTCCACCTGCATTTAAGGTTCAGCTCAGAGGTCTGCACCTTGCACCTGGCTCACTGCCAGGGACCATGTACCCCTTCACCTGGGTGCCCAATCTGCTTCTCCACCAGGCTGTGAGAACTTTCAGGAGGCAAGAGTGGTGGTGTGGAGTGGGGTGGGGTTACTTTTCTCTGTGTACCTTAGCACAGAGGGTGGGGAAGGATGGCCCCACACAACAATCAATACACGGAAACAATGGCAAACCTGTAAAACTGGCTCTAAGGTGGCACTCAGTGAGTGTTAGTTCATTGTTGCTAAGTGCCTAGCAAATAAATTTCCCTGGGGTAACTTATTAATAGGGGCAGCTTATTAATGCGGGAGGAGGGGTATTGTCAAAGAGGTAAGAGCTGTAGGAAGTGAACTCAAAACTCAACAGGACTGTGTTGATTGCCTTCTATATAGTCCACACACTATATGTTGTTCTTTGCAAACTGTTAGCTTTGCGAACTATATGAAGGCTTTGCGAATGGTTAGCTTTGTACTCCAAGTCTCTTCCTGAATGAGGAAGACAGACTTGATCAAATGAGCATCTTCTCCTTCAGGGATACATGGGGAGGTCTCTGGATCTGCATTTTGGAGCGAGAGCTATGGGTGGCTTGCAGGATACATCTGAGAGGGAGAGTCTAGGGCTTGGGAAGCCAGGAAGGAGGCTAAGGAGGCTGCTCATGTGGGAGTGGTAAAGTTGGTCCAAGAAGAATAGCAGTGGAGGGGTGGAGGGCCAGGGACCCTAGTCTATGGGAAACATTTCACACCTGGCTGTTTCAAGGACCAGAGGGCCACAAGGTCCTGGGGTCTAGTCAGGCAATTTTGCCCCCACTTTGCTCTGCAGTGACCAGAACCGGAGGTTGTGAGTCTGCAGTGCCCATCCAAGCTTGAGAGTAGATGGGCATCCCGTGGGGTTGTGTGCAACAGTCAGCAATTCACTCAAGCTTCAGGCAGCTCTGGGAGCTGAGCAGGGCAGGCTGCAGGCAGATCTGTCCTAGAGGACAGATCTCTAGGTGAGGAAACTGAGGCTGAAGTGGGGGGCAGGGGCTTGTTGAAGCCACAGAGTGAGTGAGGGAAGAACTGGGTTCAGGGGTCTGAAGGTGGCTTTCTAGGACTGTTCATCACCATCAACACCAAAATGGCATTTCTGCATCCCTGGTGCACAGCATAGTTCTGAGCAAGTGGTGGGAAGTTGCAAATGAATGAATGAATGAATGGGTTGGTCAAGCAGACCAGAATCCCAGGGGGCAAAGGCAGGTCCATGGGGAGCACAAGGAAAGCCATGTTTATGGAGCATGCCTATGTGACATGCACTCTAGCAGCAGCTTCCCGTTTGCGCCTCTCCCTGGAATGAAGGCCAGAGCCCTCCTCTTCTTCAGCTGAGCCTCCCCAGCACCATTTCAGCCTTTGGTGCCTCTTCTCTTAATACCTGTCCTGGTTTTGTCACTTGTGAATTTAATTTACACCTTCTTCCAATACCTGCATAGCTCTTGGGGATGAAATTCTGGCATGTCCTCTCTCCTGCATCTCTGTCACCCCAGACATGCAAGTGTCCAAATCATAGTCTTCTAGATTTTACTCTACTCTCTTCCTGGCTCTCATGGATGAGACACAGGCCCCTTTACTCATGATCCTGTCTCAGATTCTGGTCTATATCTTAGGGGGCAACCAAATCATGGAGCTGCCTGGTCCAAAACCCGCCCTCCCTTCCTTCCAATCTTTTCATCTTCCCAAAGACTGCTGTACAGTATCCAAATCCGTGGCTTGGCCTTCAAGTTCCTACCTTCTCCACTCAGCCAATACTTTCTTCTCTGACCCGAGCAGTCCCCTTCCCTGCCCTGGGAGGTGAGCACTGACACACAGTAGGTGCTCTATGAATGTGCCAATCTGGGCTTCTCCTGTTGCTCTCAGCTGTGGCAGCAGCCCATGGTCATCTGAGGATTTAGGTGACACATGTGATGCTAAGTGGCAGAGTTGGGCCTCAAACTTAGGACTCCCCATTGGAAGGGCAACATAGCTTGGCCCAGGCCAAGTTTTCTGATAGTCAACATGCACCTTTGAAAATGGAGGTGATAAGTCATACCTGGCGGGGTGGGGGAGATCTGGGACCATGGGAGGACATGAGGTTTTCAAAAGTCTCATTGACTGTCCCCAGCACAGAATGTCCCAACCAGTGTCTCAGAACAATCACCGCCCTAGTGGTAACCAGACGTGGGAACCCCCTTGCTGGGCCCCCCTGCACACCAAAGGCCAGGGTTGTTACCTGTCTGTGGTTCCCCTGGGGACTGTGACCTCTGCCCCACTCCACACCTGGAGCTTCAGGGGTTTCTCCTCCTGACGCCTGGGTTCTCGGCTCTGATTCCTGGACAGTTGAGAGCTGTTGGACCTCAGAGACATTTCATGGGCGGTGTGGCCAGCGGGCCTACAGCGGAAGAGCTGCTGGTAGGCTGTGCGGAAGTCCCTGTTCAGTGCAGCGTACAGAATGGGGTTCAGGGCTGAGTTGGCATAGCCCAGCCACAGCACGATGTCTTCAAAGACCTCATTGATGTCATTATCCCCTCTCAGCCCACGGTAAACAAAGACAGTGAAGTAGGGGAACCAGCAGACAATGAAGGCCCCCATGACCGCGGCCAGTGTCACTGTGGCTTTGTGCTCCCTGACGGTGGCCGCCTTCCAAGAGCTGACATGATGGATCCTTTTGGCCTGGTCACGGGCGATCTTGAAGATGCGGTAGTAGGTGATGCACATGACCAGCAGGGGCAGGTAGAAGGTGACCAGTCCATCTACCAAGCCATACACCAAGTTGACCTGGACTTTGCACTTTGGGACAGTGTGAATGACCGTGCTGGTCTCGTTCCTGCTGTTCCACCCCAGGTGGATAGACAGAAAGGACAGGGTGATGGAGATGACCCAGATTAAGACCAGGGAGATGGCGACCCGGAGGGGGGTGATCAGCACGGGGTAGCGCAGAGGGTCTGTGACGGCACAGTACCGGTCGAGGCTGATCATGAAGAGGTTGAGGATGGAAGCCGTGCACAGCATGACATCCAGGCTGGTATAGATATCGCAGAAGACCTTGCCGAAGCTCCACCTGCAAGACAGCTGGTAGAAGGCTGAGAAGGGCAGCACCAGGAGGCCAAGGAGAAGGTCGGTGATGGCCAAGGAGACAATGAAGCAGTTGGTCAGGCTGCGGAGCCGGCGGTTCAAGCCCACAGCCAGGCAGACCACCACGTTGCCAGCAATGGTGATGAGGATGAGGACCGTGAGGACCACGCTGACGGTGATTTTTAATGCAGTAGAGTCCAGACAGGAGGAGTCTGTGACATTGGCTGCCATTCTGGGGCCCTACAGCTCCTTTCTCTGCCCACAGTCCCCCGCCACGTCTCTTCCAGCTCCCCAGTGTGTCAATTACATCAGCCACTGGACTCCAGCTGCCCAACAGAGCAGTATCCAAATGGGGAAGCTACATTGTCCGACCCAGTGCTGTTTTTCTAGAAATAAAGAAAGCAGTCTCCTAGGAATGTTTGGGAGGGAATAAGACAGAAGATGAGGGAGGATGAGTCCCTGAAGCTAGGTTCCTGATTCAAATGCCAGTCCTCAAATTGTCCCCTGCAGAGCTGGCTTCTTCCTGGGTCTGGAGCAGACCTCCATTCACCAGGTTTTGCATAGAGACTGAGGCCCTGGGGCATGTGTCCAGAGGTGGCTTTGGTTTTTTGCTGAAGGGATCATGGGGAGATGGGTCTGTATCCTTCTCCATAACTGGTGGCTGTTCCCATCCACGTGATGGGGGGTCAAGGCCAGCTGTGTCTCCCTCTCAGAAGCACTGGAAAGCAGGAGCTGAAAATGCAAAGGTCAAGGGTTGAGCACTTTGAAAGCAGACTTAGTCCCTGATCCAATACAAGAATCCTTCTAGATCCTGACCTCACTTCAAACACCAGGAGGCAGGGGCCAATCAGAACATGCCTCCTTTAGAGGGACTGAAGCAATCAGGATACAGAGTAGGGGGAAGGAGGAAGGTACAAGGGGTTGGACAGTGGTGTTACCTTGCTGGGTAGGGTTGGGGAGAGACTAAGACTGTTCATACCCCAGAAAGGAAGATCTAGATAAAGCTCCAAGAACAGAGACTGCACATGTAGGTATTAAGCACCTCATAAATAAATGATAAAATAATAAACACATAAATGTAATGAATTTACTCTTAGGAAGTGCCTAGAACAGCCTCTGACACTGCTGTCTTACAAAATGTCACCACACTCTATGGCAAGCACTTTTTTGAAAATGGGCCTGTAGTAAACATTCTGCTATGTGTACTGCCTGGTCCACTGCAACTCTTCTGTCACACAAAAGCACCCACACAGGCAATGTGCAAATAAACGAGTGTCTTTGTGTGCCAGTAAGATATTACTTCGGGGCACAAATTTGAATTTCCCCTAATTTTCACATGTCACAAAATATTATTCTTTTGATTTTTTCCAACTGTTTCCAAACTATTTCAAAAATGTAAAAACTAGGCTTGGTGCATGGGTTTCACCTAGCCAGGTAGATTTGTCTTGCTCTCAGTCTGACAACCACACTCACCCACCCCTACTCTGAAGGGCTCTCTAAATCTTCTCTTAGTTAGCAGCACACCTAGCTCCTTGTCCAGGTCAGCTTGCACAGAACTCACTCAGTCTTTCTAATGGCTGCATAACAGACCATGAGGTGGCTGGTCATGGTTTATTCTATCATTCCCTATCATGGGTAGTTCCCTCCCTCCCTTATTCCCTCCCACCTCACTGGAAACATCACTTTAGCAGAATGGCTGCACATACAATGCTTCTTGGTTAAATTGCAGTGAGTCCTTCCTCTTAGTAATCATATTCTGCAATTCCAATCTGTGCCAAACCAGCTAAGGCCCTGCTGATAATTCCTGGACTTTCATGTCTGCTGGTCCTGGTTTTCCAGAGATCAGCCAGGAGGCAATCTCCTGAGATCTGGGGGTGTGCAGAAATCAAGTAGACAGCAGAACTCTCAGAAGCCAGCTAAGCGCCATGTGACATAAATGAAGCCTCTCCAGGCTCTTGCTGGGAGCGGTTTTGCAACCTGAATAAGAGAAGCATCATTTAATCATAACCACTGTGTCGGTGCAGGGATCACGCTCCTGGTCACCTTCTGCCACTCCAGCTGGCTCAGCCATCAGGCCTCGGGAGCTGGGCCTCTGGGTATTATTTTTAGAAGATCTTTTCATTACATAAATAGCCCAAACAGCATGGCTCTCACCGCCACACTTAATTAACTTTGGAGGGGGTGGCAGTGAGGGTAGAATCTGTATTTGTGATCAAAATTTTCCCTGAGTTTCCTTTACAGCCAGGTACAGGTATGCTGGCATTGGATCAACATCTTAGGTAATGTTTGGAGGTTTTCAAATATGAACAAACCAGCCTCTCACATAGTCAGAACTCTCCCTCCTCCCTCCCTCCTTCCTTTGTTGTCTTCCTTCTCTCCTTTTCAGCTAGTATTTCCTTCAGAACCTATAATGTGCCAAATGCTCTTCCAGGTGTTGGGGTACACGGAGGAGAACAGCAGTGTTTCTCTTTTCCATGGAGTTTTCAAAGAACCACTGTAGTGTTTTTGTTTACCGTTCAGGTTCCAGAAGTTTCTGGTGACCTTCTGTAAAGGCAGGGCCTTTGGCCTGGAGCTCATTCTATCCTGTACCCTGTGCTAGCATGCTTGACCTCGAGGGCCCTGGTACCACAAGACCATCATCATCGTTGTCACCACCGCAGTTGACAAAAAACACTTTCTCAAGCTTACAGATTTCCAAAGCCATCACAGGCTGGCACAGCCCACCCAAAGACTTAAGGTGTCAGGGATGGTTGGCTACTGGGGCTCACCCCCCCAAACCCTCACACCTGAGGGGGATGGAAATCTTCTACTCTTTTTGTTTCATTATTTTTAAAATGATTCAGAAAGCAGAGTTGATTTTCAGTACCTGATATTATTACTTTTACTATTATCACAATATTTTACATAAACACTTAATATGTTTTAAGAAGACATCTATCAAAGTTTAAAGGTAACCATAAATGATGTAAATCATAACTAGTCACACATCAATACATATTTTATTTGTTAAAAATACTTATCTATTTATATTTCATATAGGAGGAAAAATAAGAAAGAGGTCAAACTAGTAAACTATTATAAATGTTCTACCTCATGCTTCAATTTCCTTGCTTTTAGTAAGCTACTTTTCAACCAGCTTTCAGCCAACTACTGCTTCCTTTGTCTTAAGTTTCTAAATTTTTATTGTATATAATTGACATCTAACACATTAGAATCGAATGTGCAACAACTATTTGAAATTTGTGTATATATTGCAAAATGATCACACTAAATTTAATTAATATCCATGGCTATACACAGTAACAAAAACATTTTATTTCTTCTGGTGACAACTTTTTAAAAAAGATTTATTTATTTTTGCATACAAGAACTGGGGTGTCGGCCAGAGATGCAAGGGGTGAGAAGCTTCATCAGAGACAGAGTGGGGAGCAGAACAGGCTGATCCACCAAAATCCACTGCAAGGTGGAGCAGTGGGTGAGAAAGAAGAGGTTTGCTGTGCCATGTTGGTTAGCTCCCTGGCCGGGGGATCGAACTCGTGCTGCAGGGGCTGCGGATAGCTTCATAGTGCTGAGACTTAACCCCTTGTGCCACCAGGGAGGCCCCTGATGAGAACTTTTAAGATGTGCTCTCTTGTCAACTTTTAAATATGCAATATGACATTGTTAATGATAGTCCCCATGCTGGAAGTGACACCCCAGGACACCCCAGAAATGTTATTTGATAGCTGGGATTCTGTACCTTTTTTTTTTCTCTTGCTGCAGACAAATTTCATCTCCTTTATTAATTTTTTAAAATAAATTTTATTTTTATATTCCCCATACAATTGCAACCCCCTTATTTTGACCCATCTTTTGACCCCTTCCCCCATCTACAACACCCCTTCCCTCACCATCCACTCCCCGCCAGGGGCCGCCCCTTTCCCCTCTGTGCCTCCCCAGGACACTGCCTCTCACACACCCTGCACAGCACCCGGCCATTTCCTCTCCCCTCTTTTTATGTATATTATATATATAATGGATGTACCACCAGGTCATTTATAACTACCTCATTCTTTGGAGAAGCCAGGCAGTGGCAGTGAAAGCACCATCATCAAAGACATAGGAAGAGGGATGTCTGCATTTGCAGGTTAGCAAGGGACAAAAAAGGGGTGCCAACCTGAGTGTCCAGTAGCAGGGGGATGGTTCAGCTTGTGATGGCACATGTGAACCGCAAGGCAGACTGGACAAGGTGATGTCACACACATATCAAGTGAAATATCACTTCATTCTCACAGTAACTCATGAGTGAGGAAAATCCCTGTCCCCTTTAAACAGCTGAGGAGAGTGAGGTGAAGAGGATGCCCATCACACCCCTACTCAGTGGCCACCAGCCTGGTTTCAAACTTACCTCACACTCCTTCCTCCTGCCTTAATGCCTGTCCTTATCTCAGACCTCAACCTGTCCTTGGCTGGCTCTCCACAAACATTCCTGAATTGGTTTCTAACACTGATGTTCAGGCAACTGGGCCTTGCCCCAAATATAGCAGCAGTCACTCCTGTCTTTGCCTTCTCTTTCACCTGGAGTCCTGCTCTTCCCTATATTCACTTCAACTACTTTCCTCTCAATGTGTTGCTCAAATACCTCCATCTTCCTGGATGCCTGGAGGTGGGAGCACCTTCCCCTGGGTTCTGTATTGGTTATACTGTAGGCACCTGTTATCTTTTATTGTTAATATGGCTCTGAGGTTGTTCCCCACTAGTGCCTGGACCTTGCCCACCTCTCTCCACCACCTTCAAACACCCATCATCTATCTACTCCCCCACTCTTCCACATCAACCACCCTTCCATCCACTCTTCCATCCATGTACCATCTACCCAGCCATCTACCTGCTCATCCACCCATTCCATCCATCTACCTGCCCATTCATCCATTTAGCCATCCCTGTTGGGAGCAGCATGTAGGGAGAGAGAAAGAGGGAGGGGGAGAGAGAGAGAGAGTGTGTGTGTGTATGTGAGAGAGAGAGAGAGAGAGAGAGAGAGAGAGAGGGGAGAGAGAGAGAGAGAGGGAGAGAGAGAGAGAGAGGGAGAGAGAGAGAGAGACACCACCAGCCCGAGTACGAGAGCGAGAAATTTCTCCACCCTGGAAACCTAGGGGTACTCACCTTGGGATTCAGTGGGTCTGGCTAGCATGCCTGAATGCCTATGTGAGAATGAGTCTGTTTTTCCCACCATTTTATAGTGAAAAACTTCCAATACATACAAAAAGTCAAAAAAAGAAACAATACAACGTGCATTAGATCTTGCCCAACTGTCAATGCAGATTAAATAATCATCTGTTCCACTGCTCATCCTCTTCTGTATATGTGTGTCAGAATGATATGAAATTCATTAAAGCAGGCTTCAGTCAGCTACTTCCTCTCCCATTTTGCAGGCTGACCACAGATGCACCTGCAGGCACCCTGCCGCTTCCTCTTACATCTTCTCATCTTTGCCTTAATAGCCTTTGAAATGGCACTTTCTGGAGAATTTGCTCATGGGTTGTGGTGCCCCCCACTCCCTGGGGAGGTTTCTGACCTTTACCTACAGTCATTACCAAGCAAACGCAGCCATAACAAAAAACAGCAGCAGCAGCTCTGAGCCTGCCTCATGGTGTGCCTTGAAGAGGCCATGCTGCCAATTAGCAGCCAGAAGCAGCCACAGCCCAGTGTGTTAAATGCGCTCCATGCCCTCGCACTCTGCAGCACAGCCTGTG